TGTTACACCTTCAACTAAATTGTTTATTGCATAATATCAATTACAAATATAAGATGTAATATTTATTGGTGGTAAACATGTGACGCCCTGCAAGAACACAGCAACGTCTGAGGGCTAATTTCATAAATCACAGCACCCCTCATGGACGAATGGCATAAGAGGAGTTACGTCAAACATGCTTATTGCTCTAGTAGATACAGAAAAATATAACCCACGTCCACATTCTTGTAATTCTATCTACAATATTAGTCGATAGAGTTACAAGAATTGGAGATGATGGGCCAATACGCGTTTTTGACGTAACTCCTCGTGCCATTCTTGCGTGAGGGGTGCGACATTACAATATATCACAACATTTAATTATGATAATGTAATAATGTGAATTCTATATTAGTGATGGGTAACATACATTACACAATACATTCATTTTAAATAACATTTATTAATAATGAATACTTTTAATTGTTTTCTGAACTGTGTGAGTCTTTCTAAGGTAAAACAGTAATTCTAATTAATGTAAGTTTCTTTGATACAGTGTCGTTTCCTACGTATAGTAAACACGAATACTTGAAAACTCGATTTCAACTGTCTTTATTAATAAATATCATTCGAGTGCACATCAACAATCACTCATTAATTAGAAATTCTATATTTATTTATTAGACGGGTAATACAATACACGACAAAGAATAAGAACTAAGAACAATGTTGTTCCTTTTGCAGGGGCATGCCACAACAGATATCGAACCCTACGGTGCTGCTTTTGGACTGTTCCATCGCGTATCAGAGGGTGGAAGGGAAATTAACGTCTCTAGAACCAGTGCTGTTGCAGGTTAGTCATGAGGAATTAATTTTGATTTATTGAAGATTTCGTAAAATTTTCAATAGTCATGTAGTTGTTGTCGACAATTTTATCGATAGATTTTGAATGTAGGTAAAATTTTGCCAAAAATGTCTGAATTTGAAATTGTGAATGTTACGACGTTCTAATCATTACTTGTCCCGTATCTTGCTTTCTAAAGACATATTTAAGGTTTTTTTTTCAATGAAGAAAACAAAAAAGGCTTTTTTATTTTTGTGAGGTCGTCAAGTCAGGATTGTTATACAGACTGTTCCTTGTTCTATCGGTCGTCACGGAAATAGTAACTAACGCTAAGATAATCGTTAACGACACAATAACGATAATAATATGCCAGACCATCACACCAATTGTTTGGTGTCGAACAAGGGAATTCCCTTTACTATGGGTACCAGAGTAACGGAATTCACTCTGTGGCATTTCCCAGAACGCCCAGACCGGAACCAATTTAGAAAAGTTAATTTCCAAATTTGTTCCTACCGGGAACCGAACCAAATCGAAGGGACTTTCTCTTTTAGCGCCCTCTGTGTAAAATCGTCGGGCCTACTATCGGTTCGTCTTTAGGACCAGGGCCCCGATTCAGAACTCTTCGATATTTTAACCGAATCGCACGATGGGGCATCGTTCTCGAATCAAAGGGCGCTTTCCGAACTCTTCAGAATATTCCGAATTAAACGTTCGATCCGGATTCGGATACGACATCGTTATCCAACAACGTTTACGGATATAGATCATAAGAAAAATGAAAGTCTTTTATATACATTAAATTTTTATTGAATTGATATTCAAATATTTTTTGTGAAATTACTCCACTAGTTTGTTATAATTATTAATACAAAGATCGAACACTCAAAAAAAATTCCTTCGATCCGGTCGGATTCGAACCGACGTCTTCTTTTATATACATTTTTAAGACTTTGAAGGCATTGACTTACAAATAAATGGACGACGGGTCTAATACAAAAACCACGAAAAAAATGTCCCAAGTCAATCTATTTAAACGTAGTGACATGTAAAGGAATGTTAAAAAGCTAAAACGTTGAATTTAAATTGTAATGTCATCGCAGTACTGTCTAATTTTGCTTGCTTCGCTGTCAGTCGAACAAACGAAGACTAAAGCGTGAATGACGTTCTGTATACGATTTTAACGCCCTATAAGTTCGGACACTTTTTAGCACGGACCCGACGTCCATATAATTGTAAGTCAATGTTGGAAGGCCTAAAATATATGAATACATTAGTCTCGCATTAAAATAAATTAATAAAATTGAACAAAATCCAGACTTTATTTACAATAATAAGAGATTTCCATATTACATTCTTCCTTGTAAAGAATAGTTAGTTTGGGAACTTTCATTCGATAACTGAGTTCTGAATAACGTTTGCAGCCTTTGCCGGTCGAGAAGTATAAGTAATCGTAAGGGTATGACGTCATTTCGGTTCGGCTTCGAATGCGACAGTTTGACGTTCGATTCGGTTATTGTGAATAAAAATGCAAAGAAATCGTACATCATACGATATCTAATCGAATCGGTCGACAATGGAGTTATCGTAAGGTTCTGAACCGACCTGCAGTCTCTGTTTTTTCTACGTTAGTTTTGATTATAATGACCCTCCCTACCGATCCTTAGGGTATACGAGAAGGGTGCTATAACCTGTGCAAGTGTATGGATCTTCTAAGTTCAAGTACAGGGTTGTCAGAGACCGTTGTCACTGATTTCATCCGGATCTCCAGAGGTCTCGGGTGAACCGCCCCGGGCGCATGTACCCTCCCTATTTTTAGTAGATACCGTGCTTTCGTGTCCTTTCTTCCCGCTGCGCATTGCACAACTAACGGTTGCCATCGTCCATTACCAAAACTCGTCTATTGGTCGTCACCATTCCGCCGAGTTGAAGCGTCTCTCTAGTTCGTACGAAAATATGCGACTGGAGGGACCGGAGGATAGACCTAGCTCATCCTCTGTTAGCTCATTGAGTATATAACCAGAAATAGAGACGAAATGTAATTTAATTTGTTTGAAAACTACCTGCTATATTATTACAGTGACAACTGCGCTCCGATTGGCTAGCCCGAAACAATTGACGGGTGTCATCAATGGGTGTCGTCAACTGTTTCACTTCAAATCGACCAGTTAACTTGAGCTTTGCTATAATTGACGAAAATTTGAGATATTACATATTTAATAACCGATGAAATGTGGTTCCATTTGTTTTGTAATTAGACGTTTTACTGTTTTTCCCGCGCCACCGAATAGAACACGCTACAGGCTAGCGTTAGAGATACTATCTTTATTACAATAAACACAGAATATTTTTTGGAATATACGGAGACGTACACACAGGTCAGTTGGCCTGACTATATTTCAGTACAAACGGGAGTATAACGCACACACACACTCAACATAGCCCCGCACTAGGGAAACCCTGTGTCGCGGGTGCCATGGACACACACATAGACAACCACAAATTACACCCAAACTCACGAGAGAAATAATTGTAGGCCATACAACTATTTCTCCCGGCCCGGGAATCGAACCTGGGACCTCTGCGTGGCAGTCCGGCATGGTAACCGTTCGGCCACGGAGGCAGTTTAAAGGAGGAGGAGGGAGTTGATATTTACAAGTTACGTATGACTGATGAGTTACCAGGAGTATATCGTCTCTATCTCTGGTTATACGCCTTCCCTCCGGAGGTACCACGTGCAGGGCCCCTCGCAGGAGCAGGAGTACCTGGCGCGCTGCGCGCTGCGGCTGGCGGCGCTGCGCGCGCGCGTGGTGCTGGTGCGCGGGTCGGTGGCGCGCGCGGTGCAGGACGCGCTGCGCGCCGACGGCGTGGCGCTGGCCGCGGCCGTGCGCGAGCGCGCGCTGCGCCGCGCCGCCAAGGCCTCGGGCGCCGACGTGGCCGCGTCCGTGGACGCGCGCATCGCCGCGCCGCGCCTGGGCAGCTGCCGCAGCTTCTACGTGCGCAGCTGTGAGTCGCCCCTGTCCGCGCCCGCCCCGGTGCAGCGCTTTTCTCGACCGACGCCACGAACGAACAAAAATAATACAAGAAGGAAATTAAACTACTTTTCCGGATTTCAATCGCTGTCAGATTTAATACGTAGGCATCTTCGCAAATGCACAAATGATCTACTCACCTCCTCTCTATTCCTATCCTAAAAAAACGCCCTGATTTGAGGGTAGAATATTCCCCGTTTTGACGGGCCCTGTTGCAACTACGCCGCGCTAGCGAACGGTCGCTTTTGACGCGATATCACCGTAGCCGTTGGCCAACGGCAATACGGAAAATCATCTTAGCATCTCATCTGTCTGTGAGAGACCAGAGTGGGCGGCGCGACAACCCCTTGACACCTGGGCATACGCATAAACACCAACGACCGACACATCTATCGAGGGAACAACTCAAGGTCAGTCAGTGCGTTCACCCTACCCCATTTTGGCGCCGTCAATCGTGTATATTTCGCGTAAATCGACATTTCGGGCTCTTTACAGGTCCCATGGTCACGGTTGACTGAGGTGGTACAGTCTTCAACCAGTTATATATAATATTAATACGAAACGTCGTCGGTTTGTTTGAAAAAACAAATATACGCCCATACGCCATTTAAATCCGGAAAAGTAGTTTCATTTCCTATGTGTAACAATCGCGAAAACCTAAGAACTCGATATAATACAAGAAGTTGAAACACGCGTGTTCGCAAAGGAAATATAAAAAATGCAAAAAGATAAAAGTGGGTAACCAAAAAGAACTTCAAAATACTTTCATTTGCTTCACCCCCTTCGTGCGGATACTTCTATCCGTGCGCCATACTTAAATACAAAATAAGTAATACCGTAGACAATATTTTAATAATTCTCGTAATTACTATATAACAGTTTTTCTTTAGTGTGTTTACATACATTACGTAGCTCTTTATAAGTACATAATATATTCCAAAGTTTACAGTAACAGAATTGAATGGAATTGCACGCCCCATACAAGATAAATTTATGTTTTTTTTTTAATGTAAGGCAATCACTCCCGAACGTATTTGAGAAAAAATAATACCTCCACTCATCGGATCAACTTAAAATTTGTTATACTATGAAAATTCGATGACATTACAACCATATGGTAACCTGTACCTAATGCTGCAACCAGGACACTGCGTACTACGCAACTCCTTAACACTTATTGTATAGAATTATACCGAAGAATGTACGATACCACACAACTTATAATACAACTAACATAATTACACTACCTATAATAGGGCTCTTAAATTGCTTTCAACGAGACATTAATTTACAAATGGTAACTTATCGGGTTTTCTGAGGTATGCACGTTTAGTATCGGGAGTTTTTTTTAAATTTTAATTGAAGTTTTTTTTAGCTCTTTCTTATCATCCACCGCGCTCCTTTCAGATCCCAGCAAAACTCTCATGGTGCTGGAGGGTTGCGCGGAGCCGCACTTGGCTTGCTGCATCCTCCTCCGAGGGGCGCCTTTGCAGGAGCTGGTCCGAGTGAAGAAGGTCGTCAAGTTCATGCTGCTAGCGTGCTACAATTGGAAATTGGAAAAGGCATTCCTTGGCGACATTGAGGCCGTCTTGCCCGAAGCCGGGAGGACGTTCGACGACGACAGCGTTGACGACAACGACGTATTTGACAAGAGCGATGACGGTTCAAGTGCTAAAAAGACTGAGGCTCAAGATAGCAACGAACGAAATTGTTTCAATAATGAATCTGACAACTCTGAAGCTAAAGACGTTTTTGGTGAAATACCCGATGCTGCAGCTAAACCAGGTGTTGGCAATGACGGCAAAGCAAAAACGACTGATAGCGAACCGAAAACCAACGAACGAACCCCTAAAACATGTGACAGTCAATCGAAAGCCAGTGTAAGTAAAACAGAAGAAAATCAAATCTCAGATACGAAATGTCAAGAATTGGACGACCCTTTACAGAAAGCGAAGTTTATGCGCAAAACGGATAGTGATAAAACTTTGAGTTGTGGAGTGCCGATTAGAGATTTTAGTGATCCCTTACGAGCTACTTTGTCGGTCGATGACGACGTCTTCCTGCCGAAGGAGGAAGCTAAATTGAAAGCTGACGAAACGCACGGTGATAGGTATGTTTACATTTATTGTTATAAAGCTTAATAGAGTTGCACGCTTGTGAGCCTAAGTAGGATTCGAACCTTTTAGTGAGAGATTTACCATAGCTCTGTCAGAATGTTTCTCCACGAGCACGAGGTGGAATTATGGTAACTCTAGCCCGACCGACATTAAAGCATGAAACTCAAATATTTTTTGTGTCATAGGCAAGCAAATTACACTTGCAATCGTTACATTGACTAATTAATAGTACATTATTGCAGAGGCCGGGAAGTAAGGGATTGCTGGACGAGTATGACTTACAAGGACGAACACCAGCGAGGCCTTGTATTAATACGAGTTAAGCAATCCCCGTTCCCGCCGAGGCATGTGTAGAATTTTTCTCAAACATTGCGAGGAAATGATAAAAGAGTAAAGAGAGGAAGATGTGCAATAGAAAAAGTAAAAAAATATTAACTAACTTTAAAATTTATACAATGCAATTTTTAAAACAAAATGTTATTGTTTTTCCAGGCACTAATGTGCCTACTTATACTAACTATTAATATAGTAGTATGCTGGACTTTTGATGATGTGTTTGAATTTATCTATTACTGTATTTTCGTTATTGCTCTTCTCACTAGCACTCATTTTCGCGATCAAAATACAAAGACAAAACAAAAGAATACCAAAACTCTTTAGTCTAAATGTTGCCGCCATTTTCTTTTCTTTTTAAGTGAGCGGTGCAGGTAGGTATTTTTAATTCTCGCAGTTATTAACATTGGACAGTTGGCTGTCTGAGTTTTTTTTGTCTGTTTACATAGTTGATTATTAGTAGATATATTTAAAAGTTTAGAGAAGAGGACTGTAATGGATTTTCATACTTACTTTGCAGGCCTTAGCCGGGAAGAAGTCAAACATTTTCGAGCATGTTTGAGAAAACACTATTTATTACTCATTCGTAAAACATATCCACTTAAGATGAATGGGAAAGAAACTCTAGGAGTTGCTCTTTGAAACATTTGTACACATTAATCATTTTTACAAAATTAATTTCATAATTCACTTATTTGTGAAAACACAATTTCTATTACAAACATTGAAGGTAGGTTATTAAACATTTACTCACAAGCAGTTCAAGAGACTTAACTAGATATGACGTTTTTTTTAATGTCACAAGGGCGTGCTCGCATGAATTTAATAATGGTTTAGGTAGTTACTATTAAATAACGAACTTATAAAAGTATAAATAACTATATATTCTCTAAAGAATGTGCTAATTCGTTACACGATAGGATGTACTTTATTCGATCATAAAAAATCCTGAAAACAGACTAAAATAAAAGTCTAAAAGGATTTATTTAAGAATAAGTTAGATAGCTTTGTACACACGCCATCACATCAAGTTAGACATTGACGTATCTTGTTCCGTTGCACTGGAGACGATTTTCGAACAAAAATGTGTAGTCTGTACATATTTTTATATGGGGACATTTTTCTTTAATTACTACAGAGAACGTGCTAAATTTTGGTTTTCATCTGACGCCCTATAGTTTCGTTATCCCAAAACTTAAATTTTCAAGTTTCAACGGTTTAATCACACGCCGCTCCGCCCGCTGTCCCGTCAGTCTGAACATCTGTGTCAAATTTTCTCCGCCTGTACTTATTTTATTCATATTAACCTGACACCTCACTACTAAAATCTTGGCTTCAAATACCTCGCCTTACTAATGTGTGTACTTGTTTTAGAATACGACTAATGCCATCTATTGGTGAGATTCCGGACTAAATTAAGAATAGTGGCATTGATTGTCTTAATTGGCTGGTGGCATTATAATATTGTTTTTATTTAATTTTAAACTTACAGATGGTCAACAGACGATACAGTCCTCTCAATGTCTCCGAACGTAATAATACCAGCGCCCTACCTCGAAACCGAGGCAGGCCGAAAGTGCCCGTTGAGAGTCTACTTCCCTAAGCCTCTGTTGAGCGTGCCTTCAAAGGCTCCTCACACTCCTCGCACGCAACATCGCAGAATCAGTCGACCGCATCAGACTAACGTAACCTTAAAGGTAAGGTTACCTGCACCGTTTTGTGATGTCTTCTTTATTTTCGAACCCAGTAAACATGCTCCAAGATACAGACCTCACAATGTATAGAAACCTGCTTTAGGTACACGCCTGTACTCAGATTGAAGCCCGAAAACTTGTTTTTATGATAGAAAATTTTATCGAATCTACTTGTTTGTTTTTAAAAAAAAACCGATGTTTCGGTTCCATGGTCACAGGTGGGGTTTTTTATGACATCAAGTGATGGGACGAACAAATCATGCGTCTTTCCCACCGAGTATACATATAACCAGAGATGGAGGCGAAATGTCATTTTTTTTTTTTTTTTTTGGTTATTTGGCTTCTGTCCCACTGAGGACAATTCTGCCAGTGTCCGGGTTGAAAGATACACGGTATATTTATCAAGATTCACTCAAACGACGATGATCGGTTGCACCATCCTATGGACAAAGACAAAACACGGGGTTATTTGACTAGCTACTTTGGATGAAAAGCATAAACACATGCCGTGCACATAGTAAAAGTTATAACCGTATGTTATTTTGTTCAATATATTTAAATAGAGTAAATAGTAGCGGAGGTTTTAGGGGAGAAAGGATACTATAAAAATTTGTGGGACGAGGGATACAATCTGGAAGAAGATCGTATAAAGAGACGGGATATAATGCACAGTTAAAAAATATATGGTCAAGAGTTCCTTCTTCAAGACCGCACTCACAAAGGGAGTGATCCCTTATCCTGAGCTTAGCAAGAAAAGTGGGTCTGCAGTTATGTCCTAGGCGCAATCGGATGATAGTTGAAGTTGTTCTTTTACTGGCCTCGCGGAACTCGAAAAACCAAGGTTTCTTGGGTATTACTGGTTGAAGACCAGCATAATATTTGCCTTTTTGTCTGCTAGAAGACGACCAGGAAGTCTTCCAGTTATTGTGTAAATCAATCTTAGCCTGGGAGCGTAAGTCTTGAGAAATAGATTTATCATATATAATGGTACCAGAATGAATCGCCCATTTAGCCCATCTATCCGCTTGTTCGTTCCCAGAAATGCCAGAGTGTCCAGGAACCCAAACAAGAACAATTTGAATGCCAAGGTTAGAGCAATTGTAAAGGAGCTCTTTTGTTTTAAGATTGATTGGGTGAACATCTTTGCTACGAAAGGGGAATTTTAACAGATCGTCCAGGCAGCTACGAGAGTCTGTAAAAATGACAGATTTGTCTAATTTGTGGGATTTAACATATGAAACTGCCTCAAAAACAGCGATCACCTCACCCGAATATACGGACGCTTTAGAGGGAGATTTAAAAGTTAAGGAGATATTAAATGTAGGGATCCAGACGGCAGAGCCAACAAAATCATCTGTGGTGGATTTGGAAACATCTGTAAAGATATTGAGCCAACCGTTCCATTTCTCATTAATGATTTTATTAAAAAGTATTTCAGCGTTAGGGTCATCTTTGACAATTCCTAAATTGGTAACAATGTTGGGTTTAAAAATTAGTGCATCAAAATCGATTAAAAACAATGGATTACCAGAGTATTGATTGATAGGGGGGCCGATGAGAGATTTATTAAAGCTTTTTAAAAGGCATGGAGGGCTCTTATGTTCCCAGTATTTAGAAGTTGTAACAAGGTTCGCTAGTTGAGTCAAGGGGGCAAGTAAGGGGTGAGCAGAATTTTGTGAGATTTTGAAAAAGAAACGGTCGCATAAGTACTGACGACGGAAACATAACGGAGGATCTAAGGTCTCAACCTGCATGGCATTGATTGGAGATGATTTCATCGCTCCTAATATAACACGAAGACATCTAGCTTGTATATTATCCCAATAGTTAACAGCGGATTTGTTACAAGGTTCTAATAAAAATAAAGCGTAATCAAAATGACTCCTTATTACAGCATTGTAGATCAATTTTTGGGTATAAGGGTGGGCTCCCCACCATACTCCACACAGAGCTCTAATAATATTAATACCCTTTTCACATTTATTTTTAATATAATTTAGGTGAGGGATTCCAGTCATGTGGGAATCAAAAAAGAAGCCTAGAAACTTAACCTTGTCGTGTACAGGGATCAGTTCATCATTTAGGAAAATTTGTATATGTGGGACACGTCTTTTTCTTGTGAATACTACTATTGAGCTTTTATTGGGTGATAGGAGAAGGCAGTGATTAGTGAGCCAATCTTGCAAGTATCTAATGGCAGTATTTAGTTGGATAGTGCATTCATCAAGAGACTCTGAGGAATAATAGAGTGCTAAATCGTCTGCATACTGTAGAATATCACAGAAGCAGTCAACAGATTTATCAAGGTCAGCAGTATATAGACTATAAAGGATGGGGCTCAAGACAGAACCTTGTGGGAGTCCCTTCCATATCATTCTGGGGGGGAGAAGAGAACCATTGATACGTACTGAGATGGAGCGAGACATTAGCATGTTATAAATGATGTTAATCATCCTCACTGGTAGACTCAGCTGATGCATTTTTTGCCTGAGTAGCGGGAGATGAACATTGTCATAAGCGGCTGTCACGTCCAGGAAGACACCAACAAAGTACAATCCTCTGGTGAGTGCGAGTCTAATCTCAGTAGAAAAGGTACTGAGGCTGTCAAGAGTGCCCATACCCTTACGGAATCCGAACTGCGACCTGGATAGAAGTCCTTTGCTCTCCAATATCCACTCTAATCTATTTTTGATGAGGTGTTCCAATGTTTTGCATAATACTGATGACAGCGCAATGGGTCTATATGAGGCAGGATCCCTTGGATCCTTACCTGGTTTAAGAATAGGGATAACAACTTGAAGTTTCCAGGAGTGTGGAATATCACCATTTTCAAAGATTTTATTGATAATATTAAGTAGGACAGTTTTCGAAGAATTTGAGATGTTCTTAATAAAAGAATATGGGATACCATCGATTCCAGGTGTAGAGTCTCTTAGGTGGTTCAAAACTGAAGACAGTTCTACGGAGGAAAATGGTTGATCCATTCTATCATTAGAGTTTGGGGAAAAGGAGGGAGGGAAACAGTCCATAGATGGGACAGAAGGAGGGGCCAATCTATTAATAAAGTCATCGATCCAAGTTGAGGGCTCATTACTGGAGAAAGTATTGGATACACGAGAGCCTGAAAACTTTTTAAAATTTTTCCAAACTAGAGAAGATTTTACACGAGGAGAGAGGTTCTCGCAAAACTGAGACCAGCCAAGGCGCTTTTTTTTTGAGAACAGCTTTTTGGATTTAGCATTGAGCTTCTGGAAGGACAAAAAGTTTTCAATGTTAGGATTATCCAAAAAAAGTTCTTCAGCACCATTGCGTTCTAGAATAGTTTCTGTACAGTCGGAGTCCCACCATGGGGGGGGAGGGGATGGTGTCTTTCTTAGATTTTTTAAGAGGGATAGAGAGATCAGCAGCAGAAAGCAGAATGTTAATGAAATCCTCATAGATTGCAAGGAAATTCTCATTTGTAATTAGTGGGAGTAACCTAGTTTTAACTTCCACTAATGAAGAGAATTCATCCCATTTAGCCTTATTCAGTTTAAATTTAAGGAGGGGTGTTGCAGGCGGTGCCAACTGGACAGACTGAGCGAAAGTTATTATTATAGGAAGATGGTCACTGCCATAAGAATTGAAAAGTACTCTCCAAGAGAATTTGGAAATTAATTCAGAAGAAATTAGGGAAAGACTAACACAACTGGGATTTTGGGCGGGGGAAGTTCTTCTCGTAGGGGAACAATCGTTTATAACACAGAGATTGTTATTATCAAGCATGTCAATAAGAAAGGTGGCAGGAGACGAACAATGGTTAGAGCCCCACATTGTGTGATGACAATTAAAATCACCAAGCACAACAAGAGGGGATGGGAGAGAAGCAAGGATGGAGTCTAGTTCAGTGAAGATAGATTGATCAGGATGGGGGATGTATACTGAAACAAATGTTATGTTTAAAGCTCTAGCTGCTACAACATTAAAATTCGGGGAGTGAGAAGGAAGGTGTAATAAAGAATAAATAGTGGGTCTTTTAATAATTAGAGCACAGCCATCATATCCATTGTTGTTATCATCCCTGAGACATGAGAAACCAGGAATCCTAAAACGCGAAGATGGCTTTAGCCATGTTTCCGAGATAGCCAGGATGGTGGGCTTATAGTTATTTATTAAATCAATTATTTCATGTTTTTTATGACGTATTGACTTACAGTTCCATTGTAGGATTGGGGTCATTATTAATATGGATTAAAGAGTTTAATTTATTCAGTGATTGAATGACATTGTTCGGTAGGGAATCATCAAATTTAGAAATAATATTGATAAGTGTGTTGATAAGTAATTCAATAAGATTTTCGTTTCTGGAGGTATTGTTTGATAAGTCTGAATTAATAGCACAGCCATTAGGTTGTGTGGACTGCGGAGTCATAATAAGGTCATTGTGGCTTACTTTATCGAAACCAGATTTTGGGGAAACCCAGGGTCGGCGTTCCAAATAAACAGTTTTTCTTTGGGAGGAGCTTGGGGAAAGAGGGGGGAAATTATGAGGTTGAGAGGTTGTAGGAGAACATTGGGTTGCTGCAGGAGGTTGAGCTGTCATAGGGCGAGCACTGTCAGCGAAAGATTTACGTACAGTCCGGAATCTAAGGGAAGCCTCCGAGTATGGGATGTTTTCTGTTGACATAACAACCTTAATAGATTTCTGTCTGGCTTGTTCAGGGCAAGAGGGATCCGTGGCCATATGGGGGCCACAACAATGTAAGCACGTTGGTTGGGAGGTACCACAAGAATCTCCAGCATGTGGTTGGCTACATCTGAAACACCTGGGCTTTGAACGGCATTGGGCTTTCACATGACCAAAGCGGCAGCAATTGTTGCACTGTATGGTTGGTAGAGTATAGATCTCTACCGGAAGGGATGTATGATAACACAGGACTCTTTCAGGTAGTTCTTTGCCAAGGAAAGAGACCATTACTGTTTGGGAGGGGATCCAATGTGGTTTGTTATCAATATATTCTTTCCTGTTTAGACGTCTGGCCTTAATGGCTTGGGAGCCATTAGTGCAATCAATTGACTTGACCAGTTCTTCCATAGTCCACTCTATCAGAATGTTTCTAACAATACCATTTCTTATCAAGTGAAAAGTGGGGATAATTGCTTTGTAAGAATTCGAGGTGAGGAGAGAATTTTCAATAAATTTGTTTGCGGATATTGCACTAACAAAAGTAACTACAACCCGATTGCGCCCTGTAGCTTTGATACCGTCTTTTGCAATCCCATGTATACCATTCTTACTTAGGAACTGGGCAAACGTCAATAATTTGATTGTAAGACCAGATGAGGGGTTGGACTCTTCTCTCGATACGTGAACTATAAATGGACCCTTATCAGAGTCACTATATTTTAATTTCATACCGTCAGCAAATTCGGGTAAGCTGTAGGTTTGTTGGGCAGATGCATTTGGAGGAGCGTTTGAAGAACGTTTCGGAGGTTGCTCCGATGTAGTTTGGGAGGAAGATGCTTCATCACTGGCACGTTTTTTAGGCCTGGAATTAACATTTTGGGTGGGATAATGGTCGAAATTCATTTGAGAATCCGGGTTCAAGAAACCGCCAGTAGAGAAGCCGCCTCCCCCATCAGGGGGATTATCGTCGTCCATCACCAGTTAGTAACTAAATTTACCTTCACAAACACAACAACAGCACCACAAACTATACAAAAAAGGCAACCAATTTCACTCGGAAAGTACCAATTTAAATTTCGACACGTGTATACTGACAGGAGCCAGACACTAGACCGAAATGTCATTTAATTTGTTTGAATACTATTCTGCCAAATCATTACTGTCACAACTGCGCTCCGATTGGCCAACCCGAATTCGAAACAATTGACGGGTGTCGTCAATTGTTTCACTTCAAATCGTCCAATTTAACTTGAGCTTTGCTATAATGGACGAAAATTGCAAAATTACATATTTAATTACAGATATTAGATAGTACTTAATTACAGATGAAATGTGATTCCGTTTGTTTTCTAATTAGATGTTTTGTAGTTTTTGCCACACTACCGAATGGTACAGCCTGCTTTGTTAGAGATATTATCTTTATTACAATAAATACCTACAGAATGTTTTTGGAATATACGGAGACGTACAGACAGGTCAGTTGTTGGCGCTGTACTATTTCAGCTTTCTAATTTGTGATTTCAGCGCAAACGAGAGTTGATATTTAAAAGTGATATAAGACCCATTTGCCTGATGAGTTGCCAGGGATGGATAACCCTTATTTCGTCTCTATTTCTATGTATACTCGATGGTCTGTCCATAACAGTTACAGAGGGGTACTGTATATATTATACACAGTTGACAAGTCCCGTGTGCCTGCTCACATTAGTACTTGGCGGCAGAAACAAGTATGGTTCTCTTTTACAAGTATCTCTACTGTTAACTAAAACTGAACTTGGTAATGTCAAATCGCGGGACCTATTACTTGGCTATTTCTCATCTCAAGTTTACGGTTCGATAAACCACTTTTTCCAAACTCTTTCTGGTTAGGAGGTTCACCCATTCATCGCGAATCCGATAACAACTTCGGCAGATGACATCGCGTTTAAGGCTGCACTCTCGCATTACAGAGCTACGGGCTGCCGTTTGGTCAACAACAATCACGCGCGTGAGTATTAAATGTCAAAGGTCTATTGGCATGTCTATAAGAAGCGGTGCAAGTGAAAAGAGGAGATTTTTATGTTACTAATTGACGGGACGAACAAGTCGCGCGTCTGTTTGTAAGTGACACGCCTGCCCATAGCAGTTGCAGTCCCACTCAGAGCTTTAAATGGCAAAGGTCTGAGGGCACT